TTAGTCCCAGGAGGGAAGGGGCACTGGCGTGTCCGGGCCCTGTCGAGCCCGCGGGGCGAGCATCCGAAATTCCTGCAGTTTAAAACGAGAGAGAGCATCCGCAATTGCATTAGACTTGCCAGGCACATGACGGGCTACGACACAGAAGTTATGCCTCGCACACACAAAGAACAGTTTGCGGATGAGGGCCATCACAGGTGGAGACTTTGACGTGCCCGAAGCCAAGCAATCAACCACGGCCTGATTGTCGCAGTGGAACGCTATGCGAAGCCGGCACCACATATGTCCCCACGTGGCACACGCAACGAGAATAGGATACAGTTCCTTGTACTCTATGGACAGGTCCATGGTGTCTTGCTCCCAGCGGCTGAACATCCACCTGCCCTCGTTGGCATAATAGGCGCCCCATCCAAGGGTGCCACTAGCATCAGTGTATAGACCTAAGTCGGTACTGGAAGTCTCGGCTTGGTACAGGAAGAACGACTTGCCATTCCAACTAGCTAAGAACTCCTGCCACCACAGAAGGTCCTTACGACAATCGCCGCTCAAGGTAATGCGGTAATGCCGAGGTACCTTGCTGAACTTCTTAGCGGTGTCCCATAATCTGCGCATAAACGTGCGGCCCGGAACAATCACCTGCGCAGCAAAAGAGAGCTTGCCCAATAGAGAGACGAACTTCGCTGTGGGGATAGAGCGAGTTGAGCTAGCATCGAGGACGAGTTGTTTAATATCGGCTAGCTTATCATCCGGTAGGCGAGCTTCGAACCGCTCAGAATTCAACGTGATGCCAAGGAATGTCAACTCCGTCACAGGGCCCTCCAGCTTCTCCAACGCCAGGGGAACGCCGAGGTATGTGAAGGCTTCTTCAATAATAGAGCGTTGCTTGGACGCGAGGGACAAGAAAGGCGCGGACACAGAGAGGTAGTCGTCTAAATAATGCATGATGATCGGAATGGCGAACTGGTGATGCAAAATCCACTCAACGGCTTCCGCAACCTTGTTAACCCTTTCACCACTGTCGACGTATATATACGTCATGACGTGTGCACCTGCCCCACTGACGACGTATATATACGTCCTCAGTGTACGTCGCGTTTGTACTGATGCCTCAACATCAGTGGGGCCTGGAACTGTTCCTCAGTGGGCTGAAGGCCCTGATCGACGTGTACGCGGCGTATGTGGCCAGTCTGCACAGCAGAACAGCCGCGAGCATCGAGTTTGAAGTGCGTATTTTGGCATATCGTTCAAATAAATTGTTTTGCTCAAAGTTCGTTTTCGTCATCTTGCCCTGCTGTTTCTCGGCAAGGTAAGTAGCTCAACTACTCTGTGTCGATGGAAGGAGTCCTGTGAAGCAGTGTGAGGCCGGTAATGACTCTGAGGATGATTCTGGAGACAGCGAAATTGTGTCGGAGTCGTTTTCTGAGGATTACGAATTTGCTGCTATTCAAAAGATCGCAGCTGACTCGGACGCAGGGGATGCTGGAGACCAAAGAGATTTGGAAAGCGATGCTGAAGTCTCTGACACCTAGGCATGGTGTTCTGAGCAGGAGCTGTCTGTCGTGAGCCCGTTTGCTGAAGTTCCTCAACTAAACTGCGATCAAATTTGAAGGTCAGATTTTTGAAAATATTTGAATTTGAAGTCAAGTGTACTGGTCAGACATGCATGCAGATCACAATAGAGATGTGCATACATGTAAATATTGTATGTTGAGTACAGAGCCAGGCACCTACAGGATGGAGATTGCTATCTAATATGAATCCAGAATAATCCAGAATAGTCAACAATTGTGCAATTTTGAACCACTATCAGAAATTGCGCAGCCGATTGTTTCTTGAATTTTCATGCGTACGTACACCGGTACGCAGTATGCACTCGGCTGTTTAGGGAATGCTTCAGACTATTTTCATAGCTGGAAGACTATTTTCATAGCTGGATTGTCTTGGCAGTGAGTGTCTAAATCAGAGAATGAGCAGTATTGCATTCTCCATCAATATGACTTTACCTGTGCCGTGCGCGTACGTACGTACGCGTGTGGCCAGAGATGAATCACCCTGGGATGCGCCGAGCACAGTGAGCCAACCGCTGCCACTGCACCGGCTGCTATTATAGCTGATGCAGTTGCTGTGGTTGCTACTCCAGTTACTCGGCATCCTCACTGTCCATCATATGGTTTTGTCTTGAAGTAGGTAGGGCTGCTGGAGGATTCAAGCTTTACGAGGCGCCCAAGAAAAAGAAAGACCCATTCTGGATCGCGAAGTTGCATATGATGCAAGCACGGTATAAAACGAGTTGCTGTACTCTAGTCTAGGTTGCCGTAGAACACCAGGATCATATCAAGCATGTTTATATGACGTTTCTCCATTCTGAAGTCAACACTGACCATTTATAGCACTGCTTGCCATTGCTTGTCTGATCTTTGTCGTCAATTGCCTAAATTGATTGAATTTCGAGGAAAAATCGCCAAAAGTCGCATATCTAAATATGGTGTTACGAGTCTCGTACAATGAAATCCTGCAAAATTTCTTTGGATTCACTGTGCATATGTCCATACCCAACATCTCCAATCAATTTTGGACCAGAATATGCATTTTCAAAAATTGCCATTTTTGGCCCAGTGGGAGGTGATTTTCCGGTCAGGGCTGAAAGGGTTAAAAATGAACGGGCTAGAACGCAGACCAAACGGTAACACCTTCTCGAAATAGTACTGGTTCTGCCAATGAATGCCCAACAGCGGCCAGTCATCAGGGGAGACTGGGATGAGCCGGAATGCGTTGCGGACGTCGAGCTTCGTCAAAAGGGCGCCGCGGCCCACTGACATGATGGCACGAACTGCATCATCGACGTGGATATACCTCAAGCTGAACTTGTCCGCTGGTATGCCGTCATTTACGCTGGACCCTTCAGGTGCCGACAGATGGTGAATTACACGAAGGCGACCGTTTTTCTTCGGAACAATGCCAAGCCCAGACGACTGGATAGGGCTAAATGGTGGCGTGGTAAACGGACCAGCTGTCATACCGTCCTTGCAGCAGCGTTGGAGATAGTCCGAAATATGTTGTGAATGAGGAGCTGAAGAGGTGAGATTCGGGGCTACTACAGTCTTACGCTGGCCCTCAAAGCCGACAGAGAAACCGTAAGCAAGGCCGTTGCATACATAATTGACGAATTGCTGATCAGGATGTGAAGCAAGCATGGACGCAAAACGGGAAACGTGCAGAGGCGTATGAACAGAATGTACAGTATTATGCAGTGTGCGGTGGATGGTGGCCTTAGTGTCGCGCTGGACACTGAAGGCTGGCATGATGTTGGCAGCCCTATTGCTTGGGTTTACCACCCGCCCCCGAGCTGGTGGTGTTACCCTTACATTGGGAAGCTGGGTGGCGACCCCGGCAGATCTGGCAGGTGTGGGACCTGGAGCAAGGGCCGAAGCACCGACCCGCATTGAAATTGCGGCAGACCGGTTGTCCTGGGGAGGCTGAGCCCTTGGAGTTACTAGCGAAGCCGGAAAACCGTTGGTAGGACTGTTGGTAGGGACGAAAAGGACAGCGTCCATCAGCAGAAGGCGGATGTGCAGCGCCGCATGCCATGCAGGCAGACCGAGCGCGTCCTGTTGTCGCCAGCTGCCACAGGTTTGGGTCGATAATGTCCCACTTCAGCGACGGGTCGACAGCAGCCTTGATGCGGAACTTCCTGTCATACTCCAACCACCCTTCAGGCGTGAATCTGCGGTTAGCCTCGAGGATGAGGCCCTGGTAACACAGCAACTCCGCTGACCTGTGCGGGGCCACGTCGACAATAACCTGGCTCATGATCGTGTAGGCTTCCACCCACGTTGCAAGGTCGTGAACGTGCCTGCTCTTGCCGCGGGCAGCGCCGTCCTCGACCACCCGCAACGGGCCCCCATCCGACGACTCAAAACGGAGCACGTCCTGTGTGCGGGCGTGCGGCACGGAGCCAGACACAGAGGGCAAGAGCTCACTCAATTCCACGAACTCACCCGTCAAAATCCGCTCGCGATGTTTGGCTCCCAGGTGGGCGGCGAACGACTTGCTGCTACCTGAGCTGGCTGGGAGAGGAGTCGAGTTCGTAAGACTATGAGGCAGAGAATCGGGAACCATGGCCGCCAGAAGTGTTCGCAAAGTCTCCGACACCACCGATACTATGGTGGAGCGGATTGTATCGGGAGTTATCGCCGACGTCGGAGGCACAGACGGCGCCAACGGCTCGCGTTCTCTGTTGCCTGCTCCGCTCGCCGTGCTCGCTGCAGACTCGCAGGGATCAGCGTGATGAACTTGGGCCTGACTCAGGCGATCAACGAGGGCAGCCTTCCGGCCCGAAGTATCCAAATCCAACAGCGAGAGTTTGCTGCGGAGACGCGGAACCGTCATGGCGCGGATTTCATCGTCAGTATAGGCAGCCATGGCGCCGCGAAGACAAGGCGGCGAGGAGCGAATAAACTCACAAACTGTGAAACACCACGAGCAAGCAAGAAACTCACAAACTCTAAAGCACTACGAGCAAGCAAGAAACTCACAAACGAGTCAAAGCTCACAAACGAGTCAAAGCTCAACGGCGGCGAGGAGCGAATAAACTCAGAACTCTGAAACACTACGAGCAAACAAGATCAATGTCACGTAGAGAGATGCATTCAATATCATGCTGAGTGCCAAGCTGCACAGAGACCCTAGCCAGCAGCAAAGCGTGAGCATGCAGTAACAGCACCATCAAACATAGCAGCATAGATTGAGCGGTAGCAGAAAGCTGCGTGCACCCATTAATCTGCATTATCACCATAATGCTACACACACACACACACACACACACACACACACACACACACACACACACACACACACACACACACACACACACACACACACACACACACACACACACACACACACACACACACACACACACACACACACACACACACACACACACACACACACACACACACACACACACACACACACACACACACACACACACACACACACACACACACACACACACACACACACACACACACACACACACACACACACACACACACACTACTACTACTACTACTATGATACAGCTACCCTAAACGGGTCACGCCGCCCTCCACCCAAGCATGAGCACTATGAGGGGCAGTGGCAAATAAATAGAATCAGCTAGCAGAACTGGCAAAACAGATGAAACAATGGAGCAGAACGGACGACTGCTGTACTGTAACAACAACCTGACAGCTACAGTGACAACGACTGAAAATGAACAGGAAGGAAAAAATTCAAAATTTCACGTCACGAAAAAAACACTGTCCACGAAAGAATCCACCAAGCAAAAGGAGTGTGGGCATCCGAAATCCCACCAGGACTCCACTAGCAGTTCTTCCACGTTGACGATGTAAGCGGCAGGGCAAGGCCTCACAAATCCGACAGACTTCCACAACGCTTGACCAGTGCACTCATGACGACGAAAAGATTGAAGTTTCAATTCCCACCATTCCGCCATTGGGACCTTCCTCTCCGCACTCGCTCGTCCACTCCACTGAAAAACAACGAGTTGTTCCAGCACTCCACCAGCCAATCCGCAATTCCCACCACTGCATTCTTCGAGCTTGGATTCTTCACAGCACTCGAGGGACAGCTACTCCACTGCGAGTGGTGGACCACGGCCGACGCAGCAGTGACAATATCAAAGTAAATTGTCCTGCAAGCTACATCGCGATTCCGCGCTCCAATCATGCAGCACTACCTTGGCAGTGTGCGAGGGTGCTCCAGGGTCGACTCTGGCTACGCCAGAGTCGCCCTGGGCAGGCAGAAAACTTGGGAGAAAGCACACACACACACACACACACACACACACACACACACACACACACACACACACACACACACACACACACACACACACACACACACACACACACACACACACACACACACACACACACCTTGGTCCTTGGTAACACTGCCATCAAATGGTCACGTGTCCCCTGTGCAGGGGTCGACAGCACTGAGTTCAGCATTGGACCCAGAAACGCCGCTCT